CCCTAAACCCTAACCACCACTCCTAAACCCTAACCCCCACCCTAACCGCCACCCCCCAGCCCCTAACTCCCGCCCCTATCCCCTAACCCCACCTCCCACCCCCTAACCCCCAAACCCTAAACCCCAAACCCTAAACCCCAAACCCTAAACCCTAAACCCTAAACCCTAAACCCTAAACCCTCGCCTGATGAGTGCAGAAAGCTTGTCAATCAAGTGGACTTCGAAGGCGTTTTTAAGTCCAACTTTATGTTTCCAAAGTTCTTTCATGTCTTCGAAAAAAGCCTTTACGAGGGTTTGGCCCACCAGCGATCTTGCTGCTGCTGAAGACTCTGCTGCTGCTGCTGCTGCTGCTGCTGCTGCTGCTGCTGCTGCTGCTGCTGCTGGGGCGCCTGCGCCGGACGCAGCAGCAGCAGAGCCTCCTGCTGCTGCTGCTGCTGCTGCTGGGCGAGACGCCCGCTGAAACGCAGGTGCAGCAGACGTGTTACCCCTAAACCCTAAACCCTAAACCCTAAACCCTAAACCCTAAACCCTAAACCCTAAACCCTAAACCCTAGAAGCTGTGCGTTTTGCATTCTTGTGTCGCCATCCTCAAACCGCGCACTAAGGCTATGGCGTTCGGGGCTAAAAGCGCAGGGTTTAGGGGTTCCTAGCGTTTAGGGTTTAGGGTTTAGGGTTTAGGGTTTAGGGTTTACGGTTTAGGGTTTCTTACAGGCATCGTCAGGTCCACTGGCCTCTCCACACCCGCAAGGGCCAATTGAGCTCCTCGGCCGCCCAGGGGCTGCACACAGCAACAAGGGTTTAGGGATTAGGGTTTAGGGTTTAGGGTTTAGGGTTTAAGGTTTAGATGTGGACTCTCTAGTTCATACGCTGGAGCGTTTAGGGTTGAGGGTGTTGGCCTCAGGGTTTAGGGTTTAGGGTTTAGGGTTTAGGGTTTAGGGTTTACCTGTCGGCCGGAGGCGAGGGTCCCGCTGCTCGCCATGCTGCTTCTGCGGTTGACAAGTTAGGGTTTAGGGTTTAGCATTTGGGGTTTAGGGTTTAGGGTTTAGGGTTTAGGGTTTAGCGCTTAGGGTTTAGGGTTTGGGATGAAGGGTTTGGCTGGTCGGGGCGGCCGGGAAGAAAGCTGCTGCTGCTGAATTTGCTGCAGCCAAAAGAGAGCAGCAGCTGCTGCTGAGGGTTTAGGGTTTAGGGTTTGGGGTTTAGGGTTTAGGGTCTAGGGTTTAGGGTCTAGGGTTTAGGGTCTAGGGTTTAGGGTCTAGGGTTTGGGGGCCAAGAGCCCCCAGCAGGTTCTCGACCCCGTAGCGCCACGCAGCTAGATCTAGGGTTTAGGGTTTAGGGTTTAGGGTTTAGGGTTTATATTTTAGGGTTTAGGGTTTAGGGTTTAGAGCAACAGCAGATACGGCCCTATGAACACCACCGACCCCACCACCGCCTTGTCTGTTTGCATGCACAAACCCTAAACCCTAAACCCTAAACCCTAAACCCTAAACCCTAAGCCCTAAGACTGAGCTTTTATTCATTCTAGATCGAATTACTTCCTTTAAAGAAATGTTCCGATGTTTAGGACTCGAGGCCTAGAGTTTAGGGTTTAGGGTTTAGGGTTTAGGGTTTAGGGTTTAGGGTTTAGGGTTTAGGGCTTTACGAGTGACCAGCAGTTTCAAGTCCCCAAAACCCAGCTTTTATTATTTTTATTAATTTTGAAAGTTTAGCGTTTTGTTTATCAACAAATATTTATTTTATTTGCCGTTTTTGTTACTAGGGTTTAGGGTTTAGGGTTTAGGGTTTAGGGTTTAGGGTTTACGGTTTACGGTTTTGCTTGTTGGTTGTAGTCAAGAACAAGCCAGCGAATACTCTTTTCTTCACAAGCATTTAGCAGTTAGCATTTACAGTTTAGGGTTTAGGGTTTAGGGTTTAGTGTTTAGCTTGTTTAGGGTTTAGGGTTTAGGGTTTCAAGTTTGTGTTTTCGAAGATCCGAATAGGAAAAAGGTAAATAGCAGAGTTGCAAAATAAATTTAAAATTAAAATTTTAAAAAATTTAAATTAAAAATAAAGAAATGAAGAAGAGCAAATTCTTTAGGGTTTAGGGTTTAGGGTTTAGGGTTTAGGGTTTAGGGTTTAGGGTCTAGGGTTTAAATTCAAAAAGGAACGAATTGAAAAAGGAAATAAGTTCCCAAGTAAAACAAACTAAATAATTAAATTTGTTTAATTTATGTTCAAAAAATAAAATCGAATTATTAAATTTCATTTGGACAAAAAAAAGAATTAAATGAATTAAATGCATTTAAAGAAAAAATAGAATAAATGATTTAAACTAATTTAGTCAAAAATAAAATTAAAAATTAAATTAAATAAATAAAATTAAATTTAATTAAACAAAAATTGAATTAATTTGAATAAAAGTAAACAACTTAAATGGAAATTAAACGGAAAGAATTAAATGAATTTAAATAAAAATAATTTAAATAAAAATAAAAATTGGAAAACAAATATTTTGTAAAGTCTGAAATGAATTTTAATTTTAATTTTGGATTTTTGCAGCAAAAAAGAATTAAATTCCATTAATTCATTTTTATTTTATTGGATTTAAATTATTTAAATTAAATCTTTTCAAATCTTCTTTTATTTATTTAATTTTAAATTATTTAAATCCCAAAAGAATTAAAAAGACTAAAAAGATTTGAAAAGTATTTTGAAAAAACTCAAAGACCAACTAAACCGAAGCATAAACTCCTTCAATTTTTCTGTTTTTTGGTTTTATTTGCTTTTAAATGATTAAAATATTAAAATAGAATTAAAATTAATAATAAGAATTTAAAAAAGAAATAAAAAGAATTAAAAAGGAATTAAAAAGAATTAAAAAGAATTAAAATTATATTCTGCTTCAGTGGAGCGCTGGATCGCGGGGTGTACGTACACCTCGGGAAACAGAAAAAGTGGAAACTGCAGGAAATTAAAAATGGAGAATTACTTTTTAATTTCTTTTCATTTTAAACATTTATTGAAATATAAATGCATGCAAATGAAAAGGAATTAATTTTATTTCATTTAATTTGCAAAAAGATGCATTTTGTTCCACTTGTTTGCACTCGAAAGAAAAAAACTTTTTAATTAAAATATTCAATCAGAGACTTGCTTGCATGCATTTACTTTTATTTAATTTGAAGTTATTAATTCGTTTATCCTCAAAAACAGTTTAATCAAAATTCAAATAAAAAATTAAATAATAAAGTTTATGAACTTCAACTAGTTTGTTTTGAAATAAAACTAAAATATTCTGCCATAGTTGCAGCAGCAGCAGCAGCAGCAGCAGCAGCAACAGCAGCAGCAGCAGCAGCAGCAGCAGCAGCAAACTGTGTTGCAACTAAGCACGCGTTGTCTTATTTCAAAGAAGCAGCTGCAGCACTTTGTGGCAGCAAAAGCAGCGCAAAGGAAATAAATATAAATTTATTTTATTTGTTTTTTTCTTTTCTTTTATTTTATTATATGATATATATATATATAAATACATTCTATATTATATATATTATATAATATATAGATATATATATATGTATATATATACATATATAACATATAATATATAAATGTGTATATACATTATATATCATGTAATATATAGATGTGTATATATATATACATATATAACATATAATATATTAATGTTTATACATATATAATATAATATATTAATGTTTATATGTATATATATATATATATATGTAACATATAATATATGCATGTTTATATATATATATCATATAATATATAAATATATTTGTATATATATATATATATATATATATATATATATGCATCTATATGCTCCGCATAATGTATATATACGTCTATATATTATATTACGTATATATATGTACTATATATATACGCTTAATTATCTATATCTATATGTATATAGATAAATATATATATATATAAATATATATATATATAAATATATAGATATATATATATATATATATATATATATATATATAATAAAATAGATACGAGAGAGTGTTCTTTGGTTTGAATATATAAAACAAATGTGCGAAGAATAAATGGAAATAAATGAAATGTGAAATTGAAATAAGTAAAAGATGAAGTGGTGGAGTGACTTTATTTGGCATAAAATTCGATTTTGAGTTCATTTTGGGTCCATTTTGGTTGAATTTTGATTTATTTTAATAAATTTTTAATTTAATTTAATTAATTTGAATTTATTTTGAACTAATTTGAACAAATTTGAACAAATTTGAATTAATTTGAATGAATTTGAAGTCTTTTTGTTCCTTCGCAGTCGCGTTCCAGCGCGCGCGGCGGCTCGCAGCCGCCGCTGCAGCATCTGGACAGGAGAATTGGAAAGTTTTGCATTTTTAAATTCTTTTTTGATTAAATTTAATTAAATTAAATTAAAAAAAGAAATAAAAGAAATGAATTCCAACTCGCCTTTGGAGTGGTACAGACACCTCAGCGGCACTGCCGCTGCGGTGTCTGTACACCCCGTCTGCATGCGCAGGAGGGGTCGTCTCTTTGAACTAATTTGAACAAATTTGAACAAATTTGAATTAATTTGAATGAATTTGAAGTCTTTTTGTTCCTTCGCAGTCGCGTTCCAGCGCGCGCGGCGGCTCGCAGCCGCCGCTGCAGCATCTGGACAGGAGAATTGGAAAGTTTTGCATTTTTAAATTCTTTTTTGATTAAATTTAATTAAATTAAATTAAAAAAAGAAATAAAAGAAATGAATTCCAACTCGCCTTTGGAGTGGTACAGACACCTCAGCGGCACTGCCGCTGCGGTGTCTGTACACCCCGTCTGCATGCGCAGGAGGGGTCGTCAGCGGCGGCGGCTCTTCGCCACTTTGAGTTCTTTTGGAGTTTATTTTGGAATATTTTCGGACTTTTGGAGGAATTAAATAAGCCTTTTTGTTCCTTTTGCATTTGCAGCCGCCAGGGGGCGCGCTGCGAGCTGAACGCGCAGCTGCTGCAGCAGCCGCGACCCTCTGCTGCTGCTGCTGCTGCTGCTGCTGCTGCAGTTGCTGCAGCAGCAAAGTGTGTGTGTCTGCCGGCCCTCTCCCGGGTGTACAGACAGAAGACGCTTTCTGGGGCGAATTTGCCTCTCCTGCGCGCCGCGTGCCACTCCGCTGCTGCTGCTGCTGCTGCTGCTGCTGCTGCTGCAGCTGCTGCAGCACATCGCCGCGCATATCTCCGCGAGTTTCGCTCCTCCGGCGCCCGTTCTTTGACCACCAGCAGCAGCAGCAGCAGCAGCAGCAGCAGCAGCAGCAGCAGCAGGATGGACACGTTGATAGGGCTTTGCTGCCGCGAGTTTGCGGTGGTGGCAGCAGACAAGTACAGCAGCAACTCCATAGTCCGCATGAAAAGCGACGAAGACAAACTGCTGCTGGTCGACGACGACAAACTTTTGGCCCTCGCCGGAGAGCCCGGAGACCGAACGCAGTTTGGAGAGTACCTCCGCAAGAACATCCACCTCTACAGGCTCAGGCAAGCAGCAGCAGCAGCAGCAGCAGCAGCAGCAGCAGCAGCAGCAGCGGCAGCAGCAGCGGGAGGTGAGTGATGATTATTATTATAAGCAGTGTGGCTATTGAGCAGCAGCAGCAGCAGCAGCAGATGATATTGTTGTGCTGCACTTGGAACGGCAGCAGACAGCGCAGCAGCGGCAGCAGCAGCAACTAAAGCAGCAGCAGCAGCAGCAGCAGCAGCAGCAGCAGCAACTAAAGCAGCAGCAGCAGCAGCAGCAGTTTCCCCACTCCCCTCGCTAGGAAGTGCCCGGGTGTCCAGACACCGGAAGCAGCCCCGCCGCCCCTCCTTGGATTCGTCTTTTCATTTTATTTATTTAAATTCATTTATTATTTATTGTTTTGTTATATTATTTATTTATTTATTTATTTATTTATTTATTTATTTATTTATTTATTTATTTATTTATTTATTTTTATTTGCAGGTCCAGCATAAAACTCTCGACTGCAGCAGCAGCGCAATTCGCCCGGCAGCAGTTGGCCCACTTCCTCCGCCGCAGTCCTTACCAAGTCAATCTCCTCATTGCCGGCTACGACCAGGTCAGGCTAGCTAGATAGATGGCTAGCTATATGTGTGCAGCTAGCTAGCTAGCTAGCTATGTGTGTGTGGCTAGCTAGCTAGCTAGATAGCTAGCTATGTGTGCGTAGCTAGCTAGCTAGCTAGCTAGTCATACGTGTGTGGTTAGCTAGCTAGCTAGCTATATGTGTGCAGCTAGCTAGCTGTCTAGCTAGCTAGCTAGCTAGACAGCTATAATGTGTGTAGCTAGCTAGCTAGCTAGCGAGCTGGATGGCTGTATGTAGCTAGCTAGCTAACCTGATATATGGCTAGCTAGCTGCCTAGCTAGATGGCTCGGTAGCTGATTAGCCAGCTAGCTGGCTAGCTAGCTGGCTAGCTAGCTGGCTGGCTATCTAGCTAGCTAGCTAATTAGGCATCTGATCAGCTAGGCCCACGGAACAGGCGGCGAGCCAGCTAGAAGAGTAGCTAGCCAGAAGAGCAGCTAGCTAGCTAGCTAGCTAGCCATTTGGCTAGCTAGCTATTTGGCTAGCTAGCTATTTAGCTAGCTAGCTAGCTGGCTACTCTTCTGCTGTAGAGGTAGTTGCCGGCAGTCGATGCCATTTGGAGTGCGTTTGAACAATTAGGGTCCAGCAGCAGCAGCAGCAACAGCAGCAGCAGCAGCAACAGCAGCAGCAGCAGCAACAGCAGCAGCAGAAGCAGCAGCAGCAGCAGCAGCAGGAAGATATCTCTTTCTATTCATTTTAAATTGGATAGGATAATTATCTGCTTCCTCTACAGCAGCAGCCCTCTTGTCATTTGCGTCATTTGCTGCTGCTGCCACTATTGCTGCTGCTGCTATTATCGCTGCTGCTGCTGCTATTACTATTATCGCTGCTGCTGCTGCTGCTGCTGCTGCTACTATCGCTGCTGCTGCAGTAATAGTTGTTGCTGCTTCCGGCCTTTGCCGTTGCTGCAGTTGCCGTTTCTGCGTCTCTTATCGCTTGCCCGCCGCTGCAATCCTGGCTGCTGCTGCTGCTGCAATTCTCGCTGCTGCTGCTGCTGCTGCTGCAATTCTCGCTGCTGCTGCTGCTGTTGCAATTGCTGCTGCTGCTGCTGCTGCTGCTGCGCAGGACGGGCCGTCTTTGTACTGGGTGGACTACCTGGCGAGCGCAGTGGCAGTGCGGAAGGGGGCGCACGGCTACGGGGCGTACTTCGTGGAGGGGCTGCTGGATCGGTGGTATAAAGAGGACTTGAGCGAAGCCGAAGCTTTGGAAATAATAAAGAAATGCAAAAAGGAACTTTCCTGTCGTTTTCTGGTCTCTCAAAGCGACTTCGTGGTGAAGATCGTGGACAAGAACGGAGTGCGCCAGGTCGAGGTCTGAGCGCGGAAATCGCCGGAAAACGCGGCTCTTCTGCGCCGCCGCAGCCACCAAAACGCCGCAAATTCAAAATTCTGCAAAGTCCTCTCGAAATTCTTTTCAAATTCCGCGAAATTCCCCCAAAAATCCCAAAAGTTGAATTCTGAACTTCGCGGCCGCGCGCGCGCGGCCGCGGCTCGCTCAGGTGTACAGACACCCCGCGCCCGCCGCGCAACGCCCGCCCGTTCAACTTCGGCGCCACTTTTGATTTTCTTTGCAGAAAAGTGTTCGGAAATCGCCGGAAAAAAAAGACTTTGAGTTCATTTTTCTTTTCCTCCACAGCCGTGCAATTTGCTTCCACTTCGCCCGCTGGTTTGCTGCTGCTGCGGCGTCGACAGCCCCCTTCCGCCCGAGACCAGTCCGCTGCCAACTCGATTCGGCTGAGTCCATTTCGTTTCCCAAGTTGAATTTCAATTCTTATTTTATTATTATTATTATTATTATTATTATTATTATTATTATTATTATTATATTTAATAATAATAATAAGGACTGCAGCAGCAGCTCACGACTCAACTCCCTTCATTTCAAGTTTGCTTCCTTCCTAGTGACCCTGCTGCTGCTGCAGCAGCAGCAAACTGCCTCGGAGCCAAACGTGAACCAAACAAAAGAATTAACAAATACAGATTCAGTACGCAGCAGCAGCACTGCAGCAGCAGCAGCAGCTGCTGCAGCAGCAGCACTGCAGCAGCAGCAACAAAAAGGCGAAGCTGCAGCAGCTCAGCACAGCAGGCCGCAGCCCACCAGCTGCAAGCCAAACTCAGAGGGCCAATCTGCTGCTGCTGCTGCTGCAGCGGAGTCTGCTGTTGCTGCTGCTGCTGCAGCGGAGTCTGCTGTTGCTGCTGATGCTGCTGCCGGGGTTGCAGCAGCAGCAGCAGCAGCAGGAAGCGCGTGCGCTTCCGAAGCAGCAGCAGCAGCAGCAGCAGCAGCAGCAGCAGCTGGTGCAGCAGCAGCAGTTCCTCGCTCCCCTTCTGGGGTAGACAGCGGCTCTCGCTTAAGCCGCTTCTGCTGCTGCTGCACCAGCTCTTGCTGCTGCTGCACCTGCTGGCCCGAAGGGGCCGCAGGAGCTGCTGCTGCTGCTGTTGCTGCTGTTGCTGCAGCTGTTGCTGCTGCCGTTGCTGCTGCAGTTTCTGCTGCTTCTGCTGCTGCTGCTTTTGCTTCGGGCGCTTCCGTGTTCCTGCGCGTTGCCTTCGCTGTTGCTGGCACTCCAGCAGCAGCAGCAGCAGCAGCAGCAGCAGCAGCATTTGGTGCGCTTGCGGCCATAGAGCTGACAGCACTGCTGCTGCTGCTGCTGCTGCTGCTGCTGCTGCTGCTGCTGCTGCTGTCGCTGAAGCCACAGGGAGTCTCTGCTCGCTTTTCGCTGTCCCCCAAATGCGATTGCGGCAGCACTTCTGGCGTGCTGCTCTGCGCGATAGACTCAGCAGGAGCTGCTGCTGCTGCTGCTGCTGCTGCTGCTGCTGCTGCTGCTTCTGCTGCTGCTGCTGCTGCTGCACCGACTCCCTGCTGCTGCTGCTCCTGCAGGAGGCGCAGCAAAGAAGCAGAAAAGACCTGCTCCTTATCCCTCCCGTCTTGGCTCGCCTCACACGCAAAGGCATAAGCCGAGTTCAGCTGCTGCTGCTGCTGCTGCTGCTGCTGCTGCTGCTGCTGCTGCTGCTGCTGCTGCTGCAGCTGTTCTTCTGGTGAGGCCGGGGCCTCCTGCTGCATCTGCTGCAGCAGCGCGTGCTGGCTCGCGGCCAGCTGCTGCCCCAACAGCAGCGGCAGCAAGTCCGCCCCCTCTGGCAGCAGCTGCAGCTGCTGCAGCTGCTGCAGTTGCTGCAGCTGCTGCTCCTGCTGCTGCTGCTGCTGCTGCTGCTGCTCCGGTGGCGGCTTGCCGTCTTCTTTCTTTAGAGAGCCCAAAAGGCCCAAAAGAGATTGCAGAGAGCCAAGGATGTCTTCTTGAGGACTCAGCAGCTGCTGCTGCGGGCTTTGCTGCTGCTGCTGCTGCTGCTGTAGCTGCTGCAGCAGCAGCTGCTGCTGCTCAACAGCAGTGAGCACGTCCAGCAGCAAGTCGCCCTCCTTAGCCTGCTGCTTCTCCCCCTGCCCTGCTGCTGCTGCTGCTGCTGCTGCTGCTGCGTCGAGGGCCCCTGCTTCTGCCTTTGGCAGTATATCAAAAGCAGCAGCATTCAAGCACAGCGGCGCTGCTGCTGCTGCTGCTGCTGCTGCTGCTGCTGCTGCTGCTGCTGCTGGCGGCAAGCTCTGCTGCGCTGCATCTACTCCCCTCGGTGACCCCACAACTCGCCCTGGCTGGCTGCCCCCCAGCAGCTCTGCGTAGTTAACTTCAGGGCTGTCGTAGAGAGACTTTAGCTGCTGCTGCTGCTGCTGCTGCTGCTGCTGCTGCTGCTGGCTCACTGCAGCAGCAGCAGCAGCAGCAGCGGTGGAGCCGGCCTCTGCGCCACTCAGCAGCTTCAAAAGAGCAGCACAAGGGTCTTGGCTGGCCAGCTGCTGCAGCAGCAACAGTGCGGGAGCCTTTGCCGCCGCGTCACCGTGCTGCTGCTGCTGCTGCTGCTGCTGCTGCTGCTGCTGCTGCTGCAGCTCGGACCTGGCAGACAGCAGACTGAGCGCTGCCAAGTCGAGTGCCGTTTGTGGCCTTGACGGAATTGCAGCAGCAGCAGCAGCTGCTGCTGCTGCTGCTGTTGCATCGGATGATGCTGCCGTCTGCTGCTGCTGCTGCTGCTGCTGCTGTGTGCGGTAGACGGCGGAGAGCAGCTGCAGCGGCGCTGCTGCTGCTGCTGCTGCTGCTGCTGCTGAACCCTCCGGATTATCCGGAGGCAAAATCGGGCTGAGCGGCAGCAGCGAAGCAGCAGCTTGTGTCTGCAAACTCGCAGCAGCAGCAGCAGCAGCAGCAGCGGAAGCAGCACTAGCCGCTCTTCGCTCGGGCAGGGCGAGTTGCTGCTGCTGCTGCTGCTGCTGCTGCTGCTGCTGCAGCCTGTTCCTCTTCTGAGCCTTTCTGCTGCCCGCCGTTTTCGCGCCAGCGGCGGCTGCACCCGCAGCCGCTGCCGCAGCCGCTGCTGCTGCAGCCGGCTGCTGCTGCTGCTGCTGCTGCTGCTGCTGCTGCTGCTGCTGCTGCTGCAGATGCGTCAGCAGCAGCGCAGCAGCACAGCCGCCGTTGGCCGAGGCGTTGGTCAAGCGGCTGCGGGAATATGGAGAAGCAAAAAAGGGAGGCAGCTTTCCAGTGTCCAGCATGAAGGCCCGGGCTTCTCTTGCTGCTTCCCAGGCCCCCGAGGGGCCCCACTTCTGCAGCAGCAGCAGCAGCAGCAGCAGCAGCAGCAGCAGCAGCAGCAGCAGCAGCAGCGGCGGCGAAGGCGAAGGCGAAGGCGGTGAGGCGGCGAAAGAAGGACAGAAAGAGGCAGCAAAGGGACAGCAGCAGCAGCAGCAGCAGCAGGACAACAGCAGCAGCAGCAGCAGAACAACAGCAGCAGCAGCACAGCAGCAGCAGCAAGAAATTAATTTCGTTTGGAGTTTAAAGAATGTTTGTTTTTGCTTAGTTGGGATGCTGCCTTTACTGAGCAAAGCCAAACGCCGAGGGTTTAGGGTTTAGGGTTTAGGGTTTAGGGTTTGCGGCAGACAAACAAGCAAATGAACCCTCAGCAAATAAATAAATAAATAAAAGTATTTAAATAAATAAATAAATAAAATAAATAAATAATTAAATAAAATAAATAAATAAATAAAATAAATAAATAATTAAATAAAACAAATAAATAAATAAATAAATTGTGAGAAGCAAAGCAGCAAAGTGGGAAATTGGAAAAAGCAAAAAGCAAAAAGCAAATAAAAGAACAATAAATGATAACTAATTAATTTAATTAAATTAAATTGATTAAATTAATTAAATTAAATAATTTAAATTAAATAAATTAAATAAATTAAATTAAATTAATTAATTAAATTAAATAAATTAAATAAATTAAAAACTTACTGTTAAAGAAAAAGACTTCTGGTGTCTGCCGCAATAAGGCCCCGACAAAATACGATAAACCAAACGCACTTCCTGAGCAGCAGCAGCAGCAGCAGCAGCAGCAGCAGCACAGCAGCAGCAGCAGCAGCACAGCAGCAGCAGCACAGCAGCAGCAGCATGAGCAGGAGTAGTTGCCGCAGCAGCAGAAACCGAAGCAACAGCAGCAGCAGCAACGAAGCAGCAACGCCAGAAGCAGAAGCAGCAGCAGCAACAGCAGCAACAGCAGCAGCAGCAACAGCAGCAGCAGCAACAGCAGCAGCAGCAGCAGCAGCAACAGCAGCAGCAGCAGCAGCAGCTGGAGGAGAAGCAAAAGAAGACAAAACGGGAAATCCGAAAAACAAAAAAAGACAAAAAAGAAATCCGCGAAAAGTCGAAAAGCGAAATTTGAAAATAAATAAAAAAGAAAATAAAATGAAATAAAAAGAATTAAAAGGAGATTTGAAAAGAGAATTAAAAAAGAAATAAAGAATTTAATTAATTAATTAATTAAATTATTTAATTTAATTAATTAATTAATTAATTTACTTTAATTTAATTTAATTTAATTAATTATTTAATTTAATTAAATTAATTAATTTAATTAAATTAATTAAATCGGACCTTTTTGTTTCCCGGCTGGTAAATGTGTCCGGGCTGGACATCTTCGACTTCATTCATTTTGTCGGAAGCAAAAAAGAAAATAAAAATAAATAAAATAAAATTAAATAAATAAAATAAAAATAAAGAATTTAAAGCAGCAGCAGCAGCAGCAGCAGCAGCAGACTGTGCTGCAGCGCGAAACTGCGGGGAAAAAGCGACAAAAAGATACCGCCGGACAGCAGCAGCAGCAGCAGCAGCAGCAGCAGCAGCAGCGCAGCAGCAGCGGCAGCAGCAGCGGCTCGGGGCTTCCACTGCAGGCAGTGCTGCTGCTGCTGCTGCTGCTGCTGCTGCTGCTAGGTCCAGGCGAGGCCTGGAAGGCCGAGGCGGATGGAGGCGGTGCTGCTGTTGCTGCTGCTGCTGCTGTTGCTGCTGCTGCTGCTGCTGCTGCTGCTTCCGCCGCTGTTAGCGAGCGGTCGCTGCTGCGACGTTTTGCTGCTGCTGCTGCTGCTCAGTTTGGGGTGTATAGACAGCGGAGTTGCGGGTTATCAGCGGGAGCACCAGCAGCAGCAGCAGCAGCAGCAGCAGGGCGGCTGGGGTGCTGCTGCTGCTGCTGCTGCTGCTGCTGCAGGGCCTCGCGTCTGTCTGCAGCAGCAAAGATGCGCGAAGCGGCGGAGCAGCAGCAACAACTGCAGCAGCAGCAGCAGCAGCAGCAGCGGTGTCTGCTGAGGTGTAGAGACAGCCGAAAAGACAACCGCGAGCGAGAGCTAGGGGCCCCAGCAGCAGCAGCAAACGAGTTTGCTGCTGCTGCTGCTGCTGCAGTGAACAAGAAGCAGCAAATGAATAAATTAAATTCAAAACAAAATAAGGCGGCTAGGCAAAAGAGCAACAAGGGGACCCAGTGGGGCAGCTGCTGCTGCTGCTGCTGCTGCTG